TTCAGGATCGACCTCGTTCCTGGTGCGGCTCCGATAGCCAAGGCACCGTATCGGTTGGCTCCTCCCGAGATGCAGGAGTTGTCTACACAGCTGCAGGAGCGGCTAGACAAGGGATTTATTCGTCCGAGTAGTTCACCCTGGGGAGCCCCGATCCTGTTTGTGAAGAAGAAGGATGGGTCGCACCGGATGTGCATAGATTATCGGGAGCTGAATAAGGTAGCGGTGAAGAACCGTTACCCACTCCCGAGGATTGATGATCTCTTTGACCAGCTCCAGGTAGCGTCTTGGTTTTCCAAGATCGATTTGCATTCGGGATACCATCACATGAGGGTCAGAGAGGAGGATGCGCAGAAGACCGCATTTTGGACACGCTATGGCCATTATGAGTTCGTGGTGATGCTGTTTGGGCTCACCAATGCTCCCGCCGCGTTCATGGACCTCATGAACTGCGTATGCAGACCGATGCTGGATCGGTATGTGATAGTCTTTATCGATGACATCTTGGTTTATTCCAAGACTCAGGAGGAGCATGAGGAGCATCTGATAGAGGTGTTGGAGACCCTGAGGAGGGAGAGCTTGTATGCCAAGTTCTCCAAGTGTGAGTTTTGGTTGCGCGAGGTGCAATTTCTCGGACACCTTGTCAACCAGAACGGGATTCTGGTCGATCCGGCCAAGGTCGAGGCCATGATGAGATGGGAGGTTCCGAAGTCTCCATCTGAGATTCGGAGTTTCCTGGGATTAGCAGGCTACTATCGGAGATTTATTCAGGATTTCTCCAAGATAGTCGTACCCCTGACGCGGCTGACGAAGAAAGCCGTGGTCTTTCGGTGGGGACCCGAGCAACAGATTGCATTTGAGACATTGAGATAGAGATTAAGCAAGGCGCCGATCTTAGCCCTGCCAGAGGGCGTAGAGGATTTTGTGGTTTATCGTGACGCATCCATTTCAGGGTTGGGCTCGGTACTGATGAAGAGGGGGCATGTCATTGCCTATGCTTCGAGGCAGCTCAAGCCTCACGAGGCAAACTACCCGACGCATGATTTGGATTTGGGGGCGGTGGTGTTTGCCATCAAGATTTGGCGACATTACCTCTACAGGGTTCGATGTACCATCTACACGGACCACAAGAGTTCTGAACATGAGGCAGCGTCGGTGGTTGGACGTGGTAAAGGATTATGATTGCGAGATCCTATACCACCCGGGGAAGGCCAATGTGGTGGCCGATGCGCTTATCCGCAAGACGGTGCCGATCAGGGACGTTTGCATGAGGATGACCGTAGTGACTCCCCTGTTGGAGCGAATTTGGGAGGCTCAGCAGGAGGCTATCAAGGAGGAACATCGGAAGAGCGAGCGTGTGGTGGGTCAGGTTTCCTCCTTCGATTATGATAGCCAAGGATTATTGACACTACACCGCAGGGTGTGGGTGCCATATCACGGAGGCGTGCGCCAGATCTTGATGGAGGAGGCGCACAAGTCCCGATTCTCTATTCATCCCAGGGAGACGAAGATGTATAGGGATCTTCGTCTAGATTATTGGTGGCCCTGCATGAAGCGGGATGTAGCATGGTACGTCGAGCGGTGCTTGACCTGCAGGAAGGTCAAGGCTGAACATCAGAGACCGCATGGGAAGATGCAGCCGTTGGACATCCCCGTTGTGGAAATGGGAAGATATCACGATGGATTTTATCACAAAGCTTCCCAGGAACGCGTGTGGAGTAGATTCGATTTGGGTCATCGTGGATCGATTGACCAAGAGTGCTCACTTTATCCCGATTCAGGAGAGTGTGTTGGCCGAGAAAATTGGCCGACATCTATATCAGAGAGATCGTGGCGCAGCACAGGATGCCAGTATCGGTTATCTCAGACAGGGATGTGCGCTTTACTTCCAGGTTTTGGAAGAGATTTCATGACGAGTTGGGCACTCGTTTGCATTTTAGCACCGCTTTTCACCCGCAGACGGATGGTCAGAGCGAGCGGACCATCCAGACCTTGGAGGATATGTTGCAAGCGTGCGTGTTAGATTTCGGTGGTAGCTGGGATACCTATCTTCCCTTGGCCGAGTTCTCATACAACAACAACTACCACGCGAGTATTGACCGTCCCCCATTTGAGATGTTGTACGGTCGGAGGTGCAGGACCCCGATATGCTGGGGAGAGGTTGGCCAGAGAATCATGGGGAGCACCGAGGTGGTGCTCAAGACGACCGAGAGGATCCAGCAGGTTCGAAGCAGGCTTCAGACTGCTCAGAGTCAGCAGAAAGGTTACGCCGACAAGCGCCGATCTTACCTAGAGTTCCAGGTTGAGGATATGGTTCTCTTGAAGGTGTCGCCTTGGAAGGGTGTCATTCGATTCAAGAAGCGGGGCAAGTTGGGCCCGAGGTTTATTGGGCCGTTCAGGGTTGTAGCCCGGGTGGGCAAGGTGGCGTATAGGCTGGATCTGCCAGTCGAGCTTAGCCAGATCCACAACACCTTCCACATTTCTCAGCTGCGGAAGTGCCTAGTGGACGATTCAGCAGTAGTGTCGTTAGAAGATATTCAGGTTGATGGCTGCCTGAATTACATTGAGCGCCCAGTCGCAATCCTCGACAGGAAGTCGAAGGATTTGAGGAATAAAAGGGTGGAGCTAGTGAAGGTGCAATGGCAGCACCGCAAGGGTTCGGAGTGGACTTGGGAGCCGGTGGAAGAAATGATGGAGCATTACCCCGATCTGTTTCAGGATCGAGCAGCAGACTTCGAGGATGAAGTCTAAAATAAGTGGGGGAGATTTGTAGCACATGGTTCCTGGTACGTAAATCTTATTTGAGTATTTTCCATTTTTAGCCTTGGACTCGGTGAGTCATAGGTCCGACTCGCCGAGTAGAGACAGGACCCAGGACACGTTTAAGTTGGCGACTCGGCGAGTCCATATCCTGGACTCGGTGAGTCACCGCTGTTGGATGAAACCCTAAGTTTCAAGGGTTTGCACCCTATTTAATCACTTTTTTCGCCCCAAGCCAGCCCCATTCACCCTCAGAGCCCTACACCTCGTTTGAAGCCTCGTTTTTGTGGATTTGAAGCCATTGGTGTGTCCTCTTGAAGCTTGGAGTGAGTAGGAAAGGAGATCAAGAAGAAGAAGAGGTCAAGCATCCTTGAGCTATCTCAGAGTGTTCACTAAGGTATGGCTCGTTTTCCCCCATGTTTTCATGCTTATGGCCCCATTAAAGTCCTTCTTGACCCATTTCCAAGCTTGTGTATGTGGAGGGTTCGTTTTAGGCTGATTAGCCTCTAGATCTAGGTGGAATCGAGCTCCAGGAGCTTGGATCCACTGCCTTTATGGACCCATGTTGCTTGTACACCCTAGATCTACTCTTTTGGTGCATTTGAACCCTAAAACTCTCATTGAGGAATATTTACTCGTAAGGTTGGAAACTTTACGTGTTATTCATGCTCTAGGAACCCAGATCTGTGAATGGCATGGACTGGAATCGAGCAACATCGCGTATATAGTGAGTGCATGGTAACGACTCGGCGAGTCGTTCATTTGACTCGGCGAATCTGCTCGCGAGTCTCAGAGTTTGTCCCCTTTTCATTGTGTCGAGTTGAGTAGCGGGTCACGGGGTGTGACTCAGTGAGTTGGAAGCTGAACTCATCTATAAAAGGACTCGGCGAGTCATTGCCCTGACTCGGCGAGTTCAAGGCAATCTCCTTAGATCAAGATCAGACAGTCGATTCCCACACAGACCAGCAACTATTTCGCGATGAGTTTCCTTTCCAGTAGGAATGGGTCTAAGGCACCAAGGCCGACCCGTGTAGACGAGATGTTAGTACTAGAGTGTGGGTCAAGCTCGTATCTCTTGGTTTAGTCGAGTATGATATATGTGATGGTATGATAGAGTTGTCTGTACTTGTTGTCTGTGTGATACTTGTATAATATGAGTTGGCGGTTGAGTGTGGGCAAGGCCCGTATCTCTCCGAGAGTGGAGTGTGGACTAGGCCCGTATCTCCCAGATAGCGAAGTGTGGGCAGGGCCCGTATCTTCACAAGTGTGGGCGAGGCCCGTATCTCCCGACTAGTGAAGTGTGGGCAGGGCCCGTATCTTCCCGAGTGTGGGCGAGGCCCGTAACTCCTAGTTGAATGTTGTTTGTTATATGCTTGCATTGTATGAGGTATTATGGGGGAACTCACTAAGCTTTGTGCTTACAGTTTACAGTTTTGGTTTCAGGTACCTCTTCATCAAAGGGGAAGGAGCTGGCGCGGTAGCGGCACATCATACACACACACACACTGGTTTCCGCACTTACTAGATTTCTCTGGGATTTATACTTTGATATTTCGATTGGTTGTACGATTTGGCTTTTAGACATGGGTTACCTTGTGATGTGGTTTGATCAAATAATGTTTTAATGATTAATGTTTTCTAAAGTAATGTTTTAAAAACAAAATTTTTGGACGTAAAAATTAGGTCGTTACAAAACGGTCATAAGGACTGAATGTTTTATGATTAATGTTTTCTAAAGTAATGTTTTAAAAACAAAATTTTTGGACGTAAAAATTGGGTCGTTACAAAACGGTCATAAGGACTGAATGTGTACAATTTAATAAGTTCAAGGGGTAAATGCCGACACAAATATCCCTTATTTTTAATGAACCTTATATTTTATGACCATTGAAAGACATCACTTCTTGTGTTCTTAGTCGTTTTTCAATTCTCGTTTGAACCTAAACACAAAATGACAATATTTGCATCTCGACGATGGGCGACATCATCAATGGATGGAGAAGATAAAAGTGTCGTGGGTTGTAACTTGAAGTTAGGGTAGAAACATAGTGTCATAGTTCATAAAAATGGTGGTGGCTATGGAGAAAGAGGTACGAGAGAGAGGAGATTCAATTGTGATGAGTCTAAGTTAAATAAGTATTTCAATCATCTTTATAAAAATACGAAGGCTTTTCAGAAACCTTTAATTGGTGTATTTTTATGAAATTAATTTAGAATTGAAATCCTCATATTTTTATAACCAAACGTAAAAATTGGTAAGGAATTCAATTTCAATTCCTAATTCCTAGCAACAAAATCGTACCTGATAATTCTGTGCCTCTATAATTATATAGCAAGCTACCAAATGTTGCATTTCGAAGATAATTGGGTTCGTCTACGTGTCACACGGACAACACTCGGTTTTTTATTCTAAAAAAAATAAATTGAAAAAAGCAAGTGTGGATGGGAAATTTTGCAATAAATTTCATTTGGAGGTTGGAGTAGAGATAGAATCATCGGAGGAAGAACCTTATCAGCCACCAACTAAATTTTCTAATGGCCACGGCGGCAATGGCGTCTACCGCCGTCTTCTTACCTCGTCTTCCAACCGGCATCGCCACCGCCCGTTGTACCGCCTTACCTAACCTCCCACCTCGTCCGTTTCCGACTTCAATCAAACCGGTTTCAGGTAATGTAATCAGTAATTTATTTGTTTCTCTGAAGCATATCGTCGAACAGTTGGTTAACAATGAATAAATTGATTTACCAAATCGTTTAAAAAGTTGGGATTTGGGGTAATCCAGCTTTGAAGTGTTTAACTGGTATGTAACTAGAAGAATTAGGGTACCATTCATCCAGATTTTATATCTGCTTCTTGTACTTCGAATTTTCAAGAAATCCGATTATTATGGTGAAGAAACCCTTTTGATTCTATTGTTGCTTGAAGCATCTTAAACTGGGAACTTTTTTCCTACAAAGATTTTCAACTCTCGCTCAACGATATGTTTGATTGCATTTTCTTAAAGACATTCAAATTTTCTCAATTTTGGATTCTTAGTAATTTATCGGACTTTCATTTCATGACAACATGCCAGAGTCAAAAAGGTCATCTGTGTTCCATGTCAAAGCCTCAGAAGATGCATCATCGTCATCCTCCATTGATACCGATGAGTTGTTCACCAGCCTAAAGGAAAAGGTAAATGCCATACTATAAATGATAATACAATCAGATCTGAATCCCAGAAATATATGAAGGCGACAATTTATATTGTAATATTCTTATGTGGTTTATCTATGCTGCAAAATCTTGTTGTTGTGTATAGTGGGATGCAGTTGAAAACAAACCAACAGTCATAATCTATGGAGGAGGAGCATTTGTTGCTCTTTGGCTATCTTCTGTTATTATTGGTGCTATCAACAAACTCCCATTGGTAACTTTTATTAATTAAACAATTCACTTTGATTTTGTATCAAAATAAATAAATATACTGTTACAATTTCATTTAAGAGTTGTAATTTGTTTTCACTTAATGTTTTTCATGATAATACCTCAGCTTCCTAATGTCATGGAGTTGGTAGGAGTTGGATACAGTGGCTGGTTTGTCTACAAATATCTTCTCTTTGAGGTAAGATTACAGAGAATGAATGAATTTTTACTCATCGTATTTATATTTTTGTTACAAATTAATTGTTAAAATGCAAAAGAAAAACACCAAAGTATATTTAAAATAAAAGTTAAAGGTAAAATTTGTTGAAAGTATAAATTCATTTCAAATTGCACTCACAATTAATATCATCACTTGTGTGAACTTCAGTCAAGCAGGAAAGAATTGTCTGCAAAGATCGAATCAATCAAAAAGGAAATCTCAGAAACATAGACAAGTACACCATCAAATGGAATTCTTTTTTATTTTCATTTATGTAATTTGATATATTTAAAACATGTATAGAGAGATCTTTCTATGGAATATGTATTTATGTACCCCAAACACAAAACAATTTCGTGTGTTTTATTATATGTATCCAACAAGTCATAATTGTATCATAACCCTAACTCAAATAACCAAAAAAAGAAACATAATTGTATCATAAGTCATAACCCTAACTCAAAAAAAAAAAAAAAAAAAAAAAAAACATTAAATTTGTCGTTTTGGTGGTTGCCTAATAACGGTAATCACAGCCCTAAGGTGAAGAACACCATTAATAAAATAATTACTTCGATCACAAATAAATGAATTCCAAGGTATCCAATAACCAACAGCTTTTCCACTTGTAAAATTATGAGTCCCTTTATTTATACTACTATACTCCTTGTTGGGCTTTAACCGGGCCGCAAACTCATAAGTAACCTTAAATGGGCCCAAACCTTTTTCCTGCATCGCTAGTAAAAGCCCGAAACGACGCACACTTTGTTGGCTCATGATACATTGCACAGCCAAAGAAAACACTTTTCGCCCAAAACGAAACACTTCCGTGTAAATTGTTCCTGAAGGAAACAAACTTTCACACTCCTCACGTTTTAAATCCAAGTATACAATGCATTGCTGACGTGGCAGCTTGAACCTTATAACCTTCACGGGTCTTAACTCGTAGGCCCGTGGGGGATTAGAGTTTTTGTTAGGGGATTTGGATTCTGCTTTGAAAAAGAGGGCTTCGAGTACCACTTCTTGAGCGAATTTAGGGTCAAAATCGTCATGTGTCATGACTTTTCTCAGCTTTTTGCATGTCATGTAAGGAAACCGGATACATTTTGCTAGACGTGTCGTTAAAATTTCGCGTCGTTCTTCCATTTTAGGGTAGTGAATCCGGGCCCACTTGAGGACAAAATCGTAAACTGCATCCTCGGATGGCACCTGGAGGGCGTCGCTCGACAAAATCGCCTCAAACGTGCCAAGGGGTAAATTGAGAATAATGTCTCGAGACCTGGAGGGCAAAACGGTCATTTTACATAACAATGTCAAAGGTCACGAAAATGAAAGAGTAAGTTGCACGAATGGTCCGTATGGTTTGGGGTAATTTGCGTGCTTTGTCTCTAACTTTTTTTTTTTTTTTTTTAAAAATCGGAAGGGCCCTGCTATTTGTTTTTGTTATACGTTTGGCTCCTACTGTTTGTTTTTGTCTATGATGCATGAAAACTTCTCTAAGGTTGCCGTTTCCGTTTCCGAAACTCCATGGAAACGGATACTCCATGGAAACTCCTTGGAAACGTTTCTTGGAAGTATCGGATATCATGGAAACGTTTCTGCAAAGTTTCCTTAAAGTTTCAATGAAGTTTCATAGCCGTTTCTATTTTATTTTATGGTTTACATGGGCTTTTTAAGTTTAAATCCAAAAAAAACTAATGGGCTGCTGTTTTTAAGGCTCAAAATGTATTTGGTATTCCCTTAAGTCTCTAACCGATCGTCAGTCAAAGTCTCCCCTGTCGTGAGTCATCTCCTGTCTTCTCGATCAAAGACGATTAGTCGATCACAATTAACTAGGATCGTCAATCATCATTCATCACCATTCTTGATTCTCTTAATTCCTGATCACATCATCGATTATGGCTTCTCAAGAAACACAAGGATCATCAACCACATCAATAGATCAACCTCCATTGCGGGACTTGACATCAATATATATATACACACACAATTTTATATTGACATATCTCTGCCGTATCCGTATCTTATTTTTTGGGTTTTGCCGTTTCCCGTTTCCGTTCCGTATCCTTTTCTCATTGCCGTATCCGTTTCCGTGCAACTTAGGTTTTTGTTACGCGCTTGGTCCTTCGTTACCTAAAAAAATTATTATTTAAATAGGGAAAGATGGTGGGGTAGGTAACGTCAGGTAAGAGTGGTGAGGTTGGGGGTGTGTTTATTTAAATAAATTAAAAAATCAAGGGCAAAATAATCTTTTTAAGTAAGACAAGGACCAAACGTGTAACAAAAACAAACAGTAAAAATCTTCTGAGTTAAAAAAATAAGTTAGGAGCCAAACGCGTAAATTATCCTAAAACATAGGGACCATTTGTGTAATTTACTCAAAATGAAAAGAAGATTTAACTTATTTTGGGAAAAGGGATGTTAATTACTTGGTTATGTCTTTGTAGCGGACAGTTAAGAACTTTTTTGCAGCATTTGTTAATGGCTGAACTGCTTCAGCCATTGAAACAGTGGAAGGAAGATCGAGATAAAGTAATGCTAATTCATGTGTCATAGGCAGATTTCTTAACAGACTGCTGCATTGTTTCATGCATGAAGAGACTTCAAATTTGTCAGCAGCCATTAGAACATCAAGAAGAGCATGAGCAGAAGTTGATGTCAAGGTATTGCTGTATATGAAGTTCAGGAGTTCCATGAAGGCAGCTTCCTCTGTTGTCAAGAACAAAAAATAAAAGTTTAATATAAACTATTAACAAAGTACAAATGCTATAAGTGGTAAACATAATACCCGAGGCATTGATTTGCAGGTTTACATTGGGTTCTTCTGATTCTTTCATCCCGTTTGAAAAGAGCTGCATCAAGATATTATATGAGGAAAATGAATATGATCGAGTAATAAGAGAAAATAGATTCTTGTGAGGATTGAAGCTTTCACCTTGTAGAAAAATGGACTCTTTGCAGCTAAAATGGGGGAGCTAATATGTATGGTTTTAACTCTTGCAACTGATAAATATTGAAAAGTAATCAATTTTATCTCATAAATTAAATACAAGTATCAATATAGTGATAGTAATCGGTTCATACCTAATGGTGTATGTGATTCTTCAATCATTGATTCCTGCTCTTCATCTTGGATTTCATTGTCCTTGCCATTATCAACAATATGATCGAGCTGATCGAGAACTTGTTCATCTGAATATTCAGCAGCATTGTCGACAGCGAACACTAAAAAAAACAGTAAGTCATGCATAGAAACGCCTGTTAAGTTCACGTTCTTAATGGAAATCTCTCCCCATGTTCAGAGCGATTATAAAAAAACAAAGCAAATGCATGTTCACATGCATAACAGATTCATCGATTATTGGTAAATTAGGAAAAGATCATGCAACATCTCACCGTTTTCTTCTGTAATATCTTCTCTACGGCGTTTACGATTTCGAGTGGCCAGGCTGATACTACCCTCTCCATCTGGTGTAAACCCTAGCGGCTCGGAAACTATCTCGACGCAAAGAAGACGATCGGAGAACTTGCTATCGTTGAATGCAAAATCAAAGTCGTTGTTGTCGCGACCGACTTCAGATGGATAGCTAGAGTTCATGACCACCGTATTATCGAAAATATCCAAATTGGAATCTCAGAGATTATACGTGAATTAAAAGAATTTGAAAAACCCTAATTATGCGACGTATATATAGACTTTAATAATATAATATAATATAATATAATATAATATAATATAATATAATATAATAACTACTGCGCCATATTTATTCAATCTAAAATTGTTTTAAACTTGATTTGAATTTATTCGAAACTATAGATATCACCTCGTGAGGGAAAGAATGTTCTTTGAAGCGGATTTTGGAGTCGTCTTATTTAGGAATGTTGATAGTTGTGGAATGGTCAGAGAGGTTGCCAAAATACACTTGGGATATCGAAAAGGAAGGCCATTGTACACAAAGAATCATTATGGTGGAGCGAGGAGGTCTGAGCTAAGGTCAACGTAAAACAAGTTTGCTTTAAAAATAAGGAAAGAGACTTTGTAAAGGAAAGATACAAGGAGGCCAGTCGAGAGGCAAAGAAAGTGGTGGCTAAAGCCAATGCATATGAGGAGATGTATTTGAGATTGGACTAGTATAAATGGATCAAACTTGTTAGTCATACAATGAAGTTGTGAGAGAGATTATTGGAGAATAGGATAAGACAGGATACACTTGTAGCTGAAAATCGTTTCACTTTATGTCGAGGAGGTCCAGAGGCAATCCACCTATATTACAAGTCTTATGGAGAAGATTAGAGAAATAAATAAGGACTTTAATATGTTGTTCACCGAAATGGAAAAGACATATGATAGTGTCTCAAGGGCAATGATTTAGAGGACTTTGTAAGCTAAATGGTATCGGGGTGTTATGTTAGAGCCATATGCGACATGTATTCTTGATTTACGACATGTGTATGAATTGCAGTAGTCGATATAAAGTAGTCTTTCCCTATATGAATTGGGATCCATCATGGTTAGACACTCAGCCCAAATATCTTTACACTATTTATAGACAAGGTATCTTGCAAGGTACAAGGAAAGGTACCCTAGTGTATGCATTTTGTAGACGATATTGTTTTGGTTGTGGAGACTATGAGTGAGCCAAATGTTTAAGGGAAAATTCTATAAAGTACCAGAAGGTCGGCTATGTTGTATGGATCTGAATGTTGGTCTATAAAGAAGGATCATGAGGGGAAGATAGAGGTTGCAGGAATGAGGATGTTGTGGTGAACTTGTGGTAGAACCATGTTGGACTGCGTTCCAAACTCGACAATCAGAAATTTACAAGGAGTTGTATCTATCAACAAGAAATTAAGGGAAATATGACTCCGTTGGTTCGGTTATGTCCGTATGATACAACCTACTATTGCGTTTAGGAGGGTGGTATAGTGTCCCAAAAATTAGAAAGAAAATTTCATTAAAAAAATAGATTATCCAATTCAAACCTTTTACTTAAAAACAAATAATGACATTTAATTGTTGAAAACCATTATGCTGACATAGTTAAATTACAAAAGTAGCAGAAACCAATATCTTCAATGTGTGTGTACAATTATACCGAACTCTTCTCAATATTAAAATTTGAAAGAAACATTTGATTTTTTTAATCAAAGAGGAAGTCTGTTGTGTCCCAATCTTGTTGGAAAATTTTATATCAAAATTTATTTATAGGATGTTTAGAGATTATAGCAGGTGAAGAACAACACTCTAGCTTGACATCTTAAATTAGATTGTGTTTTCAAAATCAATCTTAAAGTGATTTGATCTATAATAATAATAATAATAATAATAATAATAACATAATAATAATAATAATAATAATAATAATAATAATAATAATAATAATAATAACATTAGATTGGAACAACTTTCTCTTTGTTTTGAAAATTAAGCTTCAAATGTCCTATTTAGATTTTTTATGGATGAAAACCATCAAGAACACCAAAAAATAAATAAGGACATAATTATGAACCAAGAGAAAGTTAATCCAAACAAAAAGTTTGTCAAATGTTAGTTAGTTAGTTAGTTTTTTTTTTTTTGGGAAATAAAGTGTGGATTAAAAATTTGTCTCAAAACAAAACAAAAAAAATGCGGTTTATTTTTATTTTTATTTTTTTTATTTTTTTTTAATATAAAAAAATGTTTAGGTTTAAACATAAAACACAAAAATTGCTAAAATATATTCTTTCTTTAAGTATTTTACCCAAGTATAGTTAAAATAAAAGTTATATATATCTAAAATTTGTTAAAAGTAAAAATTCATTTCAAATTGCACTCACAATTAATATCACACTTCTGGAAACTTCAGTCAAGCAGGAAAGAGTTGGCTGCAAAAATCAGTCAAGAAGGAAATCTAATCTAAGAAACATAGACAAATACTATCAAATGAAATTCTTTTTTATTTTCATTTATATAATTTGATATATTTAAAGCATATCTATAGAGAGACGTTTGTATTATATATATTGTGTTATATTTTCTTCACAAATCCAACAAGTCAAAATTTTATACCATAACGGATAATTCTAACTAATAATAACCAAAAAAACATATGCACACATTCACATGATCAGTTATCTATATAAATTTTTTATTTTGATTGCCTAATAGTAAGCTGTGCCCTAAGGTGAACAACACCATTAATAAAATAAACACTTTCCTCCGCAATAAAAGAATTCCAAGGTATCCCAAACAAATTCTTACACCCAACAGCATTTGACCGGGCCCCAATAAAATCATACGTCCCTTTATACTTACTAACATACTCCTCATTGGGCTTTGACCGGGCCCCAAACTCATAATCCACTGCAAACGAGCCCAACATTTTTTCCTGCGTCGCCAAAAAAAGCCCAAAACAGTGACCCAAATTTTGTTGGTCCATGACACGCGCAGCCAAAATAAAACCTTTCCCCCCTAAATGAAACACTTCCGTGTAAATCGTTCCCGAAGGAACCAAACTCACACACTCCTCACGTTTTAAATCCACGTACACAATGCATTGCTGACGTGTCAGATTGAACCCAATCACCTTCACGGGCCTAATCTTGTAGGCCCGTGGGAGATTAGGGTTCTTGTCAGGGGTTTCGGATTCGGATTCTGCTTTGAAAAAGAGGGCTTCGAGTACGACTTTTTGTGCGAATTTAGGGTCGAAATCGTCGCATGTCATGACTTTTCTCAGCTTTTTGCATGTCATGTAAGGAAACCGGATACATTTTGCGAGACGTGTTGTTAAAATTTCACGTCGTTCTTCCATCTTCGGGTAGTGAATCCGGGCCCACTTGAGGACAAAATCGTAAATTGCATCCTCGCATGGCACCTGTAGGTTGTCGCTCGACAAAATCGCCTTGAACCCGGAAAGGGGTAGATTGAGAATCTCGTCTTGAGACCTGGAGGGTAAAATGGTCATTTTACATAACCATGTCGAATGAAGGAAGTTTTAATTGAGAGCACTTTTGTGATGTGTAGTTATTTTGGGGAAAGGGGATGTTAATTAATTACTTGGTTATGTCTTTGTAGCGGACGATTAAGAACTGTTTTGCAGCGTCTGTTAATGGCTTAACTGCTTCAGCCATTGAAACGCTGGAAGGAAGATTAAGATAAAGTAATGCTGATTCAGTTGTCATAGGTAGATTTCTTAACAGGCTACTGCAGTGTCTCATGCATGAAGAGACTTCAAATTTGTCAGCAGCCATTAGAACATCAAGAAGAGCAGGAGCAGAATTTGATGTCAAGGTATTGCTGTATATAAAGTTCAGGAGTTCCATGAAGGCAGCTTCCTCTGTTGTCAAGAACAAAAAATAAAAGTTTGATATAAACAATTAACAAAGTACAAATGCTATAAATGGTAAACATACCCGAGGCATTGATTCGCAGGTTTACATTGTGTTGTTCTGATTCTTTCATCCCGTTTGAAAAGAGCTGCATCAAGATATTGTGTGAGGAAAATGAATATGATCGAGTAGGAGAAAATAGATTCTTGTGAGGATTGAGGCTTTCACCTTGTAGAAGAATATACTCTTTGCAGCTAAAATTGGGGAGCTAATATGTATGGTTTTAACTCTTGTAACTGATAAATATTAAATAGTCAATGTTGAAGAATGAATCGATGTCGTCTGATAAAATACAAGTATCAATAGTGATCTAAAGTGATAGTAATCGGTTCATACCTAGTGGTGAATGTGATTCTTCTTCATCTTGGTTTTCATTGTTCATGCCATTATCATTCAGAAAATGATCGGGATGATTGAGACTCTGTTCATCTGAATATCCAGCAGCAATGTCTATAGCTGTGAACACTAAAAAAATACGTCAATTTACTGTCATAATATTCCGAAATTCATCAAAAATAGAAACGCATTTCATGTTCTTATGGAAATCTCCCCACATTCACAGCGATTATAAAAAACAAAGCAAATGCACGATCACATGCATACCATATTCATCGATTATTGGTAAATTACGAAAAGATCATGCAACATCTCACCGTTTTCTCTAGTAATATCTTCTCTACGGCGTTTACGATTTGGATCCCAAGTGGCCAGGCTGATACTACCCTCTCCATCTGGTGTAAACCCTAGGGGCTCGGAAACGATCTCGATGCAAAGAAGACGATCGGAAAACTTGCTATCGTTGAACGCAAAACCAAAGTCTGCGTCGCTGCGACCGACTTCAGACGAATAGCCAGAGTTCCTGACCACCGTATGATCTAAAATCTCCAAACTGGAATCTCTCATTATACGTGAACTAAAAGAAATTGAGAGATTTGAAAAACCCTAATTCCTTATCACAGGAAGAGGATGAATGAAAATATGCTATGCGACAGATATATAAAGAATAATAATAATAATAATAAATAATATATGATATTGCATATCCACCAAATCTTATTACATGTGAATTTTTATAGACTTAAATTCGGATTTGCTTACGTGCGTTTGTATTGTTCCCCATTTTTTATTTTTTTTTAAATTCTTTAAAAAAAATGGAAGAAAATGTTTGATTGAAAAAAAGGAAGGGAAAGAAAAATATTCATTATACCGTATTCTCGATTTCGAAAGAAATGAAAAGAAAATTTTAAGTTCTTGTGTTTCCGAGTTAGGAGGAAAAAGAAAATAAAACTTGAAATTTTCCTTCCCATCACTTTCTTCCATAATCCGCCCAATTTATGAGGAAAATTTGGAAAGAAAATATGACTCCACAATCATTTTCCTCCTTTCACTTTCCTTCCATTAATGAAACGTGGAAACACGATTTTCCTTTGACACCCCTCACTTTTCCTCCGTATCCTCTCATTTCCCTCATTAAGTAGAACTTGGGAACAAGGCATAAACGTGAGACACCATATAAAAAGACATACAAATTACATAATAATTATTAAAATAAAGTTATGGCTATTGATATTATTGAAATATGCCGAAGACACATTATAAATATCTATAATCGTTGAAAGACCTCCTTGTACACAACATTTTTTGTTTTATTAATTGAATGAGATTATCACCCGTGTTAAACGCGAGAGAACGCATAAAAAACATAGAATTGTATATAGACACTGCACAAAAACTATATATATATATAAAAAAAAAGATATTTACGGTTATTGATATTATTGAAATATTTATAAAATATATTGAAATTGGTAAGTATCTATAATCGTTGAAGGGCCTCTTTGTAGACAATATTTTTTATTTTATTAGCTGAACGAATTTCTTAGTCACAAATAAAATCTTAGTTGCTAATTCATGTTAATACATGTCATTTCAACATTGTAATTTATTTTCTTTTCATAATAAGATACTGTACTTTAGAGAATCTATCCAAATTAAAGTATACTTTCATTTTTTCATACCTAAATAGCAATTGCTTTGTATATATAAATTGATAGACTTTTCAAAATACAATATTATAATTAGAAAAAAATGTTAGAAGATGCTTAATAAACAAAAACCAGTGAAAGTTCAACGTTATTTCTTACACTATATATATATATATATATATATATATATATATATATATATATATATATGAAGAAATAATGATATAATAAAATATTGGTATGCTTTATACAACTTTTAAATTGTACATCCAATTTCTTTTTTTAATTTTTTTTTATCAGTTTAACCTTTTTGCAATACATTATTATACCTAAAACGATTCATTTTTTAGAATCGTATTAACTAATATATAAAAAATAATTAAAAGAAATAACAACATCAACTTAATTATTTTTGTAATATAGAATCCTACTTCATTTTTTTTTTCTATTTCAACAATATACTTTCAGTTTTATTATTAAGATATTATGAATTATAACATTTTACATTTACATTCTTTACATTTTTTACGGTGAAAATTGATTTATATATGGATGATATTTAATAAATGGGTACATTTAATACTAACATGGTTAGTAAATTATAGAAAAAAAATATGAAATAGGAAATTGGAAATTTCAAAGGTTACTAAACCTGATAAACTAAAGCATTGCTCAAGTTTGAGTTAATAATAAAACTTCTAAGGTAGTTTGGATTCCACCATCGAGCAGCCATTACGAAGACCCAAAATCAAAACCACTTCTCTGGAATTAAAAAAATATATAATTGCAATATGAACAAAATGTTGTTGCCTTTTACCTTTTGTTTGGATTGCTTTGTCCATATATCCCGGTGCATGCTCTATTAATCTTGTAAATATGCTGATTAGGTATTACATATAATTATGGTACTATAAGATTTCATCAAGGATCTCTACAATATGACAATTCCAATAATTCACAAAAGGTTATAATAGACAACAGTCCGATCACTTAGAATTAACCATAAAGTCTACACTAAGCATAATTAACCAGAAATAATTTAATAGAAGATCTAGCATTGTTGAAAGGGACTGACAACCTGCACTAGCAACCAAAAGCATGTCAAAATGAATATTGATAACCTAAAAGGATCATGAAAAAAATCCAAGAGCCTAACCAACACAACATTAAGAAAAATCAGGAAAAAAGATTATTTTTGTCACTAAATTAATCTTCAGTCATACCTTTGATAAAAGTAGGTCCCAAGTATAAGTAACATTGTTTCTCTTAACATCATTCAAAATTTGTAATGTGAATTTATAAGGCACAAATAAATGAAAGTGTGTTGATGTTTCTTGAATTTATTTCTAAGATTAATAGACATAAGTTAAACTTTTTTTAAATATACCTCTAGGTTGTGTATGTCAGCAACCCCAACAAGCTTGTTTAAGGATGATTCAGAAAGAATTTAAACATCTTTATTAGATTCTAAGAGCAATGGTTCACCACCTTTTTGTCTTTTTACCATAGTGAATGTTGATGCAACTTCATTATTGTCAGCATGTTTAAAACAGTTTAAATTAAGGTACAAAAAGATAGAAAATGATTATGTGATAATAATTAATCAAAATGTTACGACTATTTTAATACAAAATGCTACAAGAAATAGTGTTCAGATTGGTTGTGTATACTTAGATATACTTGGGATCAATCACTACTATTTATTTCGATTGCTTGTGTACATAAATCGGTTGCCTGGTAGTGATAATAATTATGATCTACCAAAACAATCTTTCATGAATCAGGGAAATCCAAAATCATTACAAACCTATGACATGTATTGATACTAATCAAGTTACGTTTTTTAGTAAATATGAGCAAAAGCAAAAAAGACTTAAAACTTTCTATGAAGTATAACATGGACCTTGTTAAATCAAAGGTAAGTTATGCTAAAATTCTCAATAATAATCATAAATATAAAATAAATAAAATAATATAACAATTAGCTAAAAAAATAATGTATAATAAGTAAAATAATTATCCTAATTAAAACAAATAAAAAATGTCGTGTAAGATTTAATTTATTTATTTATTTATTTATTTTTTATAGAATTAAAATACTTATGCAACTAGGAAAAGAAACTAACATAGGCATACCTGGAAAATATGTCCTTTGACATTTGAGCTTTTTTAACATGGAAAATGTGGTTGTGGTGGTTTCTTCTTCTTTAATTCAAGACATTTATCTATGAAATGAAACTATAACAAAATAAGTATATGTGGAATACTTTCGGAAAAACACAATAATCCAAGGGATAGATTTTCAGAGAGAAGGAGATGTACCGGTCTTATGGGATCAAATCATGAAGGTAAAATTGAAATTGAAATAAGTTTTTGGTGAAGGGGGTTTGTATATACCTAAGGCTCATAAGGAAAAAGCTTATGTAAATTCATGATGCTTGAAAACCTGAAATGAACAAATCTGCAATAAAAATAAATTATATTAGATTTTGGTTTGATTCATGGTCAGAAAGATAGATCAAACCAAATCAATAAGAAACGAATCTCATGATAACTTTTTTTTTTGTGCGAACTAAATAGTAAAAAAACAATTTATACAAAACGCACCCAATGTTTATAAGAATCAGGACTCTGATTTAAATACAAGATGAAAATAACAATAAAAGAAGCTTCATTGGATAACTTTGAGATTCCTACCAAAAATAAATATTAAGAAAGTTTACAGTTTGACATGATGGAATTGGAGAAAGTAATGAAATGACTGATTCTTAACAATCCTTCTCAGAATCCTGCAAATGAGCACACCCCCAAATTCAAATTCAAATATGTAGAAATAATTAAAGATTAAAAAACAAAAAATATCACAACCATATAATAACAATATAGGATTGTTAGAAAATAAAGACCAACCTAGAATCAATTATAGGTTTCAACATTTGTTCACTCTCTGATATCCCAATGGTATCATAATTCCGACGTTGATGAGTGCTAAGTTCTGAAACTTCAGTGTTTCATCTTCAATTTAGAAAATCAAAAGTGCGTGAAAGTTACATAACCAATTTTCAAATTGATTAAAACATACATAACCAATTCTCTCATCATTATTATTATCACCAACGATTTTGAACAAACCATAAGTTAAATTATAGTGGCATATTGGCGAAAAAAATTATATCAAAATTTTGCCTTGAGGAAAAGAGGAAGACCGGTTAGATACAAGAGAAATAGACATGCTGAAAACATTACCTGAAGAAGTCGTCGAAGGCGTAATAGTGGGAGCTGGAGGCGGAGACGCCGTCGACGGCAATGGAAAGGAAGAAGGAAGCTTCCACATATCAGGATAGAGGATTTGTGTGTGTACGTTGATAAAAAGAAAAGAGTTGAAGAAGTTGTCGGAAGCGCCAGTGGGAGTTGGAGGCGGACACGTCGGCGACAACAATGGCAGGGAGGAAGGGAGCTTCAACATATCAGGATGGAGGATTTGTGTGTGTGTGAGTCGATATGAAGAAAAGAGACGATGCTTGCTAATTAGAAAAAACATATATTGAATTAGAATTAGGGCACTTTCGTCTTATTTAATTCAATTTTGGTGAGTTTTAATAGTATTTATTACATTTCCTAAATTTAAATATAAGTTACGTTTTATAAAATTAATTGACAATATTAAAACCTTTATAACCGAAAATTCAAGATTTAAAATATGGAAAGCTTTTATTGCAATTAAATAGATTCCATTTAGAGAAGATGATGTCATCAATTCGATCTAAGGGTTAGAAAACGTAGGATTAAAACACAATCAAGAGTTTTTATTGTTTAAGATGATGTTATAAGGTTTCTCTTTTAATAATATTTAAAGGTAGATGTCATCTTGATAATTTTTAGAGTAAATTATACCAATCATCCAATGTGTATATATCAAAAATCGTATTTAATCCTTGTTTGGGTTTTTATTCAAAAATAATTTCAAAAATATAAAGATGGCAACGAAGGACTTTGAT